ACCACGGTTTGGAGATTCACGGGTGACGACAAGTTTGGCCGAGCTGCCCACGTCCTGCTGAACTATACCCCAGGGTACAAGAAATTTTCTCAGCTTCCTCAGCCTTTTGATCCTTCGCGGTGGTCTGAACTCTTCGATCAGGCGGCGAGGTTAGAGGTTGAGGAAAACTTGGAGGAAGACCTGGACCGGGCTTCGGAGGCAGAGGTAGAGGGAGTTGCTGAAGAGCTCGGGGTCAGAGAGGACGTTGTTCCTTCGGACGCCGAGGTGGGGACTTCGGGAGGAGACGTGTGGCCAGACTTCCAAGTTCTTCAATCTCTGGACGCCGAGGACGCTCTTGAGGTCGCGATGTCAAACACTCCTCGCATCGACCTCGGGTTCCTAAGGTAGAGGCAAGCCCTCGCAGCCGGGAGAGGTCGAGGAACGACCGGCGGCACCCCCTCTGCAGGGACCAGTTCCACCCCATCCTCAAGGGTCCTTGGTCGGGGTTAGGTGCGAGACCGGGATCCTCAAGTGGAGGAGGAGAGAAGGGTCAAACATCGGCACGATGGTCTCGGCCGAGGATCCAGGGCACCTCCTGCTCAGCAGCAAAGCGGGAGAGGCCGTGGATCCCCCTGCTCCTCCACAACAGCAGCAGCAGCAACAGCAACGACAACAGCAACAACAGCAGCAGCAGGCCTCCCCTTCCCTTCCGCCGACAGTGGAAGCCGCGGAGTGGAATCCCCGAGCCACTGATCACATGAACCGAGTGATCAGGGTCGATGATTCCATTTTGCTGGATCTTCATGTCGCCCATGCAGTGAGTGAGACACTGCATTTCGAGGCTGACATGGNTTATTCGCGTTAATTATTCTCTCAAGTTCAAATGTTAATCTTTATAGTCTGAACAGGTTTAGAACATATCCCCTAAAAAATAATGATGGTTAATCCTTTGGAGAAATTGAGAACTGTTGAATCTGAGACATTTGAATTATTAAAGTTCAAATTTAACCACTAAATCACCCCTAAAAATTTATTTAGGGAGAGATTTTTATCAACGTATGACCGTAAAACTCTTGCTTGAGCAATTCTTTAATGCCACAATTGAAATCTGCCTTGATTAGGGCCTCGATTGATCAACACCACTTTTGACGATCCTTTTTTACCATCTAATCTTCTACTATACATAATGCATAAACTAGTAAGAGAAGGCTCTTAACATGTTTTAAGCAATGCAAAATTGATACCCCGTGCATGCCTCATGAACTGAATCCATTTTCTTCACAAATAACTGGCACTTTACTTTCTTTTGACTATATGATATTATGTCTTAGATGTTATAGGTTCGAATTATGAAAACGGTTTCTCTATTTGTAGAAATAAGACTATGTACATTTAATCTTTTATAGAATTCGCAATAACGAGAGTTTCGTACCCTGGTATATTCATATGATGCTTTTAGACCAAGCTGGCTAAATGATGCTTAGTTGTTAGAAAACATATAAAAAACAAAGAACATATGAGAAAGTGTTATGATCCGAAACACCTGGATAGAGGAAAAAGGACACACACAGATACAAAGCACCATGCCTAATGGCAGAGGTTGTGGATCTGATTGCGCCTGCAATGATCTCTCTCTCTCTCTCTCTCTCTCTCTGTGGTAGCGTGGAAGGATTTAAAGGATTACAGTGATAAATGGGTTAATACAAATTTACTTAAATATAACACGGATTAGGATAAATATAATTTATATACAATACGAATCAAACATGACATAAACTCACTTATAAAAAATTAAAACCAATTGCGTCATCAGAATCTGTGTTTTAACAAATTTGAGACGACACCACCCATCAAGGGCGGAGACACGTTCAAGGGTTTTGGTTGACACCTACATTTGTAGGGTTAGAAATCTCATGACCAAAGTAAAATTAATACAATTCCCCCTTAACTTTTTGAAAATTTCTATATAGTACTCAAGTTCTTTTTCACTAATAAACTGTCAATTATCTCATAACCCAAAAAAATAAATATTACATTTGGACAGAGTAAAATACATGTACAATATTGTGATTTGTATATTGATCAAGGGCTATAATTCTCTTCTATTTAATATATTATCCCTATTTTTTTCGGCACAATTACTCTTTTTTAATAAGTTAGAAGTCGTAACCTAGTAAAATACTGTTAGATAGAACGGGTAAATGGTTCTGATCCAAAAGTATTTTTTTACTCTTTCAATGAATTAACTCACCGTGAAGAAAGATATAATCCAACGAAATTTATGATATAATCAATCAAATATAAATAACTTTTAAATTGAAGAACATCATATTTCACTACAATTTGTCATTCAGTCTTTGATTTTTTGTCATATTTTACCCCTTTTCACATATAATCCTGACTCCGCCCTGATGACNCTTGAGGAAAACAGCAAAGAGTTCTTCAAGAAAGGGTGGGACGAGGCGCTCCAGGCTGCTGGAGTCCCACCAGACTCCCCGCTCTTCCAAATGCACAAGTATGTGCCCTCGGCAGAGATGGCACAGACAGAAGCGCAGGTTGCTGCTNAACTGCAAACGGATACTACTACATTTAGAATCAAGTATAAACTCCCTCGAGTATCAAATGTCATCCTACTACCAATCACCAACGCTAACATTACTGATCCGCCAAAAAGGGAAGCCCATCTTGAAGTCTTCTTTACCAGAAAAACGCACTTGTAGATGGTAACAGTGGGAAATAACTTCACATCTTCGCGGACACAGCAGCAGGAGCAGGAGCAGGAGCCACACCTCCAGTAGTTGGCCTGTAAAAGAGCAATAGTTCTGTTATCATTTTTAGTGAAAACATTACAGCCACACAAGGAACTTGCTAATGAACAGAAAAACCTCCATGCAACATGCAAATGGCAATAGAAGAAATAATTAATATTTGAAAAAAAATTGCTAATCAACTGCAGCAAATCTAGGGGTAGAAACTTACAGCCCAACAAAAACTTTAAAAGCATCATAGATACCCCACTGAGCTCCAGTAAGGGTTCCGATCATGACTATACGAAGAGGAAGACCACGAGTACACAGTTCCCATAAGCCCATCTTCTTCACAGCCTGCAACACATAGATTGCAATAAAATAAAACAAGCTATTGTAAAATAGAGAGACAATTGATGGTGGAAATGGCTATCTATCACTCACATCACCCACAGTTGCCCCCTTGGCATTGTTGAGAAAAGAGACCAGGTTATCAGCAGGGTGTGATACGATGGCACAGAATACACCCGCAACATATCCACCAGCAAAACTCACTCCAAGCTGAAAAGGCTTGCTACACTGTTCTTTTGGAGTTGGGATAGCGTACTTGTAAAGGAGCTCCACAATAGTCTCAAAAGATGCAAACTTCATCATTGTATCTGTGAAAATCCCAGTTTATTATCAGTAGGCCACACAAGAATGGGTTATCAAACACGAATCTCGCAGAAAACAATTCATGACGTAAACCAAGCTATAGGCAAATGGACAAATTGCACACACAATCCCCCAAATGTTCCCTGTCTAAAATTATGTCTATTGGACACCAATACTTACTGAATGCATCCATGATTTATCAGAATTCAGAAACTAGAGAATACCAAATATTTGCAAATATCCCAGATTCAGATGCCAACTTTGGAAATGCAAAAGACCATAAGAACACCAGTGAAACCAACAAATTTGAGAATCAACACTCAAATTAAGATAGTACACCACCGTGATTAGCAATAGGTATTGTAGCTGAATGCATTGGTAAAAAAAGATTTCGAGCTAATAACAGTAACTGTATGTCTTCGAACCCCATGGAGAAGTGAGTATCAAAAAAAAGTGTTGATTCTAATTTCTCCACAGTTCAGAGGCATAAAGTACCATAACCAGGATAACACTGTGACACAACCCAAGTGGATTCGAGTGAACCGTGATTTGTGTTGCATCAATTTGCAATTAATTTAACAGAAAGACAATCAATTGATCAAAAGAACACAGAAGCAGCATGAAAATATTGTTTGTATAAATGAAAGAACAAGAGGAAACTAGTAAAATTTTACAACGATGATCAAAGTTCTGTACATAGACAAGCACAACACACATTGTTGATGTTTATGCAAATGCATGACCCTCCCCTAAACACAGAGAACAATGAAAAGTAGAAACAATTAATGATACTTAGCAAGACAAATCTCAAAATTCGTGAAAACGAAGTAATCCAGAGGCTTCATTATCTTGTGGAAACCAATAAGAATAAACAGCCAACTGCTCAAACAAATCAAGTAAAACAGAATAACGTATGTACGTCAGCTTACATGGAATCTGTCGTCCCCAAAGAGGAACAATCCCCTTATAAAGCCTGTACAGTGGATAAATTTTGAAATTAGTGCTTCCAAAAAGATAAACAAAAAACAAGGTATTTTCTGGGAAAAAAGGGTGCAACTCATTATTCCTGCTTAACTAACACTCAAGGTGTTTCGAATGAGAGCCATACCCAAGAGCGCCTTCAGACTTGATAAACTTTGGAAGGCCATCTGACAGACCTCTGGCAAACCCAGGCTGAGTCTGGACACGAACCTTCACTGCCTCAAAGGGACAGAGGGCAACATCAGCAATCACCTCAGCAGATGCAGATCCCGCAAGATAGATCAAAGTTTTGTACTTGGCTGCATACTCAGGACCAGCAATATCGGAATAGTACTTCTTGAAAAATTCATAAAATCCCATCTTGCATGCGCCCTGTGCACTGTAACCAAGCAAGGTTGGCACCCAGCCCCTAAACAAACCTTTAATTCCCTGCTCCTTGAGCAATATTCCAAAACCAGAAGAAATGGTCTTGTACTTTGCAGGGTCAATCTGAGAAGTTGAATTTATTAACGTTACTGTAATTTCTACATCATGGGATAATTTGTTTTTCGCAAGATCGTTAAATAAAGTCACTAAATAAGATTTATGTAATATTATTTTTTTTATCATAATCTTAACAAACCTAATCAAACATATATTCTATAAGAAATCCCTAATTCATAAAAAAAAATAATTTTATAAGAGTGTCAACAATGAGACAACATTAAATTTGAAAGTTTGAGAATTTTTTGTTTAATTTAAAAATTAAGTCAATTAGTTATACTATNATTTTTCCATAATCTCTTCCGGTGCTCGCCCCTTCTCCTGGCTGGACGCCCCGGCTCGGACGGTCGAATAAAAACAGTTCTTGGTCCCCCCGTATCTCCATGATACCCTCTGGCGTGGCGAACTTTAACTTCTGGTGGAGAGTGGAGNGCCTCTGCTTGACTGGCTTGTGCGACGGGTCAACATGCAGCCTGTGAGTGATTATCTCAGGGTCTACCCCCGTCATTTCCATCTCGTTCCAGGCGAATACGTCTGTATTTCCCCTTAGGAATTTGATCATCTCCTCCTGTTCGGCTGTAGGCATCGAGGTCCCCACTAAGAAATACCTCTCTTCTTCTCCCTCTACCAAGGGCACCTTCCGGAGGTCTTCTACCGACCGCTCAGTTGGGTCTATCCGGGGGTCATCCATTCCTGGACGCCCGGACTGTGATTGCTATTTTTCCATAATCTCTTCCGGTGCTCGCCCCTTCTCCTGGCTGAACGCCCCGGCTCGAACGGCTGAATAAAAACAATTTTTCGCGGACGCTTGGTCCCCCCGGATCTCCATGATACCTTCTGGCGTGGCGAATTTTAATTTCTGGTGGAAAGTGGAGTGCACCGCTCCCAACGCATGCAGCCATGTTCGCCCCATAATCACGTTGTAGGGAGAGTCCGTATCGATCACCACAAACTCGGTGTCGATGATAAAGGGACCAGTGGCAACTGGCAATGTGATTTTCCCCACGGACAAGGCGAATGAGCCGTTGAACCCGATGAGGGGGTGTCCTGACTTTGGTGAGGTCTTTGGGGCCAAGACCCATCCGTTTCAAAGTTTCGAAGTACATCACCTCCGAGGAGCTTCCTGAGTCTATCAAAATCCTCTTGACATCGAATTTCACAATCTTCAGGGTTAAGACAAGGGCGTCGTTATGAGGGATCACCACGCCTGCCAAATCTGCATCGGAGAACGTAATGCCAAACTCACCCATCCTGGCCCTTTTACTTGATGGCCCTACGTCACCCTCGGCTACCTTCCTTGTAAAAGCTACCCTCTTGAGGTCGGACTCAAGCTCTTTGGACTTGGGGCGCTCCAGGGGACATACATGGATGACATCTATGACGTTGTTCAGCTCCTCGGTCGGGGCATGGGCTCTATGTATTCTTTCAAATGTCTGTCTCGGACCAAGCTTTCCAAGAACGATTTGAACACCCTGCAGCTTTCGGTGCGATGCCCAACATCCCGGTGATAGGAACACCTAACCCTTTGATCTCGGGTGGAGGGGTCGCCCTGCATCCTGGGCGGCCATTTGAAGAACGGCTCGTGCTTGATTTTATGGAGCAACTTGAAGATGGG